GTTCTTTTGTAATAATACTATTACTATCCAAAGATTTTAAGAGGTATCGTTTATAAGCGCCTTTCTTTAACAACATTTACCAAACCTATCTGGGAAAATCTACAAGTTAGACCATTCATTCCTTTTTCGTACTAATCTCGTTACGAACTAGTAACCGTTATTCATTCGCAAAAGATTGTATCTCTGATAATAAATAGCTACCTAGATTAGCAAATTAAATATTTATCTAATATAATATACAGACCTGATCTTTAAAAATCATTTGTATTGGTATTTTTGATAAGTGATGAATTATATTAAGATATGGGATTTAATAGTATTTGCTATTGAATCATGAACATGGAAAACAAATTCAACAAGGCTTCTATATAAGCCAAACATATTTATATCGTGAAAAAAAGAACCTTCCATATAATGATGCAATTTCATCATGCAAATGATGGCAAATACTATCAAAGTCTGGTGGTTATTTATAAAAAGCGACAGTAAAATTATATTCAATTATGCTTCGCTCTGCATGTATTTCAATTTTGTCATGGTTTACAATCAGCGAAGGAATAATCCAGAATTAATGGAATTAAATAATGGAAACTATAGGATATATATATCAGGTTAGTGAAGCTGGAAGGTTATCAGAAGAAAGGAATTGGAATTTATAATGTCAAAGATGAGGATGCTACAACTAATCACCGAGTAAGGTTATTAATTATATTTTTTACTTGATAAGTTTTTATCTAATAATTTCGACATGTCTAAATAATTTGATCACGTCTTAATGTCTATGACCAATTTTTTGTAAATAAATAAAGAATTAACTAATCATCTAGTAATTTTAATTGATTCATGATGTGATTAAGATTCAAATCAAGTCCAGATTTAATCAAATCGAATCATTTGATTTTCCGACTAACAGAATATTTCTAATATTGACAGACTTCTAAAGATTGTAGAAAAACAAATACCTTGTAAAAATTTGACCACGAAATATCCAAAAGCTGATTATGGCATTATATATAGATATGTTGACGATCATTATTAAGACAACTATAATCTATAGATGTCAGGATTATGTGGCATTGTTTTTTTTTCTCTAAACATTGATGTGATTTAAGAATTAATGGATGTTAACATTATTCCTGGTCCAACTCTAAATAAAAAAAAAAATATAACAATCTTGTTATACAATAACAATCCTAGTGAAGATAGTAAACATGATTTTATGGCGGTGATGAATAATACTATTTTTAAATGAAATGGTCAAAAGGGAAGGCATTGATTACTGTGTAATAAAAATTTTAAGATTAATATTTTCCTGCACAAATTTGAATTGTAAAATAATTATAGTAAAGCCGCAAGCATAATGCATTAATATTAATATTAATAATATATGAGTAAATGTAAATGATTAACATTAAGAATTATAAACAAATCTCACATTAAATAATCATCTTATTTTTAGAATTTTATTTGTTTTATTTACATTTTATAACAAGTATTTACTTGATACTGGTTTGTTTTGATTTATTTTTTTGTGGTTTTCAAATAAATATAAATAGCATGCTTGCTATAGTTAATTGAATTAACTGACGGACAGATTAAAAAAAAAAATTTTTAATAAAATTATTAAAAAAAAAAATTATATAATGACAACAGGAAATTTTACAATCGAAGATTTAGCAAAGAATCTAATTCATAAACTTGATCGTGGTAATATATTCCCACCGTATTATGACGACCCAGAAATTTTTATTGCAAAGCTTTTAGCTACAACCACTTCTTATCCCACCGTATCTTCTACGCCCACCACCGACACCAACTCGCCAACACCCACCACACTCATAACCAAATTAAAGCCCACAAATTTAATGTTTCGAAAACCAAAACGACCACAAAATGCATTTTTATTATGTAGAAAAAATGTACATCAAGAAGCGAAACGAATTGGATCGTGTAATATGAGAATAATCAGCAAGGTGACTGGAATAATGTGGAAGAATGCCTCAGTGCAAGAGAAGCAAGTTTATGAAAGATTGGCTGATAGAGTTAACGAGATACAAAATCAACGATATCTTCGTGAAACTAATAAAATTCAACAACAACATCAAAAAGCAAAATTACGGGTGCAATTCCAATTACAACAAAATCATCAGTCGACGCAACTGCAACCCCTTCAAAACCAAAGATCGATTTACAATAATAGCAATGATGGTTTCATTATTACAAATAATAATGATAATACTGTTTTGTTAAGCGATTTTGATTTTTCTGCAATAAGTGATCAACAATTATTTGAATTGGATTCAACTGCAGTTCCTAATGGTATCATCATTACAAATAATGATGGTAATTACGATAATAACATCCATTCAATATACAACAATCCACTAAGTAATTATATTCCCGCAACAACGACAACCACCGCTGATAAATACTAAAAAACAGGTTTGAATTTTGAAATTTAAATTTTAAATTCAGAAATTCAAAAAGAAATACCGAGTAATTCATAACCCTAAAATATATATAACCCCATTACACAATTTATGTTTATTTGTATTTTATTTACTTTTTACGCGATTATGATTTATTGATTGGTTCGTATATATATTCTCAAAAAAAAAAAAAATCTGGTTTAAATCAAGTTAAGATTTTATTATTATTTATTTATATGATGATAATTGTCATGATTGTTAAATGGAGATAAATGATATGTTGGCCGAGAGGTTTAATTTATTAAAATAGCAATAAACAATTATCATCGCTCGCTTATTTACCAATTAGTATCAACACTGCCGTTATTATACATATTATTTAAGAACGCGCGCATTTATGGTTAGATATTAGATATTTATTTATTATTTATTTATTTATTTATTTATTTATTTATACTTTATTTTTTTTTTTAATTTGTAAAAATCCTTTTGTTTAAATTAACAGTCGATAAGATGTGATTACTTATCGTTAATATAATTAATAAAAAAAAAATTTTTTTTCTAGAATTCGCTAGTTCCTTATTTGTTTAGATTTCAAGATAAGATAATTAAAAAAAATGAATTGAATTTTTGTTTTCCAGAAATAGTAGTTTAATTCTTTTAAAAAATTAATTTCTTGCTTTTACATCCAAGCCTGCCATATTAATTATCCATTTTAGATTTGTTGTATATATGTTATTTGTACGTGTAACGACGACACTTGTTCAATTAAATTATCTCGGTCATGTGACTTTTCAGCGGTCCAAATTAGAATATATATTTTAATATTTTTTTTTAATAATATATTGTATGTTAATAAGTGAATCCCTATGATACTCCCAAATGAGTATTTACATACATATAAATACCATGCTATCTTTTGA